CAACTTAAGAATACTAATTCTTCCAACCCATCAACCTAAGATATCTTTGGATTTTTTGGAGGGTGGAGGGATGTTTCCTTTAATTTCTTTCATAAGGGTCTTATATTTTTCAGTGTATAGCTCTGTCATCCTTGGTGAAATTTATTCCTAAGTATTTTGTTTTTGATGTTATTGTAAATTGAATTGTTTTCTTTATATCTTTTTGAAATAATTCATTGTTAATGTATAGAAATGCAATGATTTTTGTATGTTGATTTTGCATCTTGAAACTTTTACTGAATTTGTTTATTAGATCTAACAATTTTTGGGTGGAGTCTTTTGATCTTCATATAAGAGCATGTCCTCTGTGAAGAGAAACTATTTTATTTTTTCCTTTATTTGCATGTCTTTTATTTCTTTTTCTTTTTCTTTTTTCTTTTTTTGACTAATTGCTGTATACCTTTGGTCCTCGGCCTTTTTTTTTTTTTTTAAGATTTTATTGGGGAATTGGGGGAGGGGAACAGCACTGGGGAATCGGGGAAAGGAAACAGACAAGTTGTTGTCCTTTTGTTCTTCAGTTTAGTTGTGGAGGACGTCGCTTCACTGGCCCATGTTGGCATTATCATTGTGTTCTTCCCGGGTGAGGCGGTCGCATGCCGGCCATTGGACACCACTCACAGCGGCTCACAGCAGCTGAAGAAAGCTCACACCAGTCTTCCGATTAGCCCCACTGCAGCCTATGCCGTCCCCAACCACTCACGGCAGCCCAGCTCCAGGTCGAGCTGTTGTTCACCATCTTAGCTATAGAGGGTGCAGTGTCAATGGCCCTCATGTGGGATCTGAACCGGGGCCCTGATGCACAGAGCTGGCGTCCCAAGCCAACTCTTAACCAGTGTGCCACTCGGCCGGCCCATACATGTTTTATATTTTTAAGTGGTTCTTGAATGTAGTGAAAATTTCAACAGTATCTGTAATTCAGCTTATAATATTTTCTAAAGATGATTTATAATTTTCTTACTACTAAGATAGGATATGTGTAATCAAATTCTCCCTTGTTTCTTCCAACTGCTACCTAGATCCCTGAAGAATGGAGAATGTCCCTAATAATTGAACAATATATGTGTATGTGGCTCTCGCTATATATCTATTTAAGAAATGCATATCATTTCCTCCAAAACATAAATAAGAACTTGAGGTCTAGAATAATTTCAACTCTGGCACTTTGCTATTTTTGCAAGTTTTAACTCTGAACATCAATTTCTCATTTTTAAAATGTGTACAACAAAAACGCATAATAATAATGATACTACTATAATAGCAGCTCAATCTGGGGGGAGTTGAGAATAAAATGATAAAATGCAAAGATTAAGTTTTAAAAGTGTTGGGCATATTAGCAACATTTAGGAAATGATAGCCCTTATTATCACTGGCCTATACAGTTCATAATTCTGGACAAGTGGTTAATCTAACTACTTCTTAAATTTTTTCCTTAGGTGATTTTCGGCCTAACTTGTTTCCATAGAACAGTAATACCTCTGAATGTTATCAATAAATGTCTTGTTTTCTAACTGCAGTAAGCGGAAATATTTATCTTCTGAAAATTTTGTTGATATTCTCATTTAACTGCAAGATGTTTGTTTTGCTTTAGGTCAGAGATGCGTGAGAGTGGAAGAAATGGCAGAGAACTTGAAGAACAATTCTGCTTTTTAGCACTTCCTCAGAGTGATGTGACTGAAATATATCAGAATGGGATAAGTACGAAAGCATCTACATTGAAGATATTAGGAAATCCTCTTCTTGGAATTTATGTATTTAGACATGTTGATGTTGCCTTGAATTATGCTCAATCTAGAAGCAATACTGTAGAAAGTATTATAGTTTTTAAGGTAGGTAGCATAAAACAAATATTATATTAAGTTTGTTTTAAATTGACCTGAACATATTTACCTTTCACTATGAATTATTAGTGTTTTTCAGTTACATTATATAAATTAAATAATAATTATATTTATTCTGTCATCATCATCATCATCATCATTCAAAATTTTTCCCTATTTTTTTATTCTGGTTGGGTATGCAGCACAAAACAAAACGGCAAGTAAGCAAAAGCAGCCTTTATCGTCTTTGTCTTCCCAATGTATATATTTTTCCGTCCTAATTAACCCTCTTGCTTTTGTTCAAACCGTAATTAATACCAGAGTGTTTTAAGTGTCCATCAAAACGTTTTGATGGTTATAATTATTCTGGTTTATGCTAAAGTTAATAAATTCTTTCTGTTTATTTTAGTTAAAAGTATTATACAATGTTAATTTCTTAGTTTTGATGATTTTTCTATGCTTATGTAAGATGTCAACATTAGGGAAAGCTGGGTACAGGTATATGGAACTTGTGAACTATTTTGCAGCTTGTACTAATTGACATTTCTATCCACGGTATGTGTACATTTTAAAAAGTATACATTACACTTTTTAAAAAAAATATTTGCCAGTCTAATATGTGAAAGTTTCTCATTGGTTCAGTTTTTCTTCTTTTTCATAATTCTGCTGCATTTAAACATTCTAAATATATTTACTGACAATATCTCAGTAAAACATAAATAGGAATAAAAATTAATAAAATAAAATGAAACTAATATTGATACAGTACTGTTAACTAAACTACAAACTTTATTCAGTTTTTGCCAGTTTTTCCACTAATGTTTTTTCTCTTCCAGCATCCACATATGTAGGATTCCACATCACATTTACTATTGTTTTTAATTTTTATAAATGTGTTAACATATTAAAAAAATAAGTCATAGAATTGCTGATTTTAAGTAAAACTTGTACTTGTTTTCATATTAATTCCATTTTCCTCCTCATTGTCTTTTATTAATCATGCTCATATTTTTTTAATTTAATATTCATTTATTTTTGATGTTCAGAAATTTTTGAATAATTTACAGTGAAGTCTGTTTTTGGTTCACAGTTTCTTGGCAAACATGCTTAGAAAAGAATTCTTACTTTGAGATGAGATAAAGATTTGCTGATATTTCTACAATGTTTTCATTACTTAAATATATAACTTGCTTGTTTCGGTTTATAGATTAAGAAAAGAATTTGTTATTTTTAGTTGTTTCACACCATTTATTGAATAATCTGTTTTTGCTTCACTTATTTCAAATGGTACTTTTGATATTATATTTTTACAGATGCTTGGACTTACCTGGGGCTTTTATTTTCTTCAATATTTTCCCCCTTTCTGCCTTTCATTGTGGTAGTACCATCCATTTATTTATACACACACACACACACACACACACATATATATATATATATATATATATATATATATATATATATATTTTTTTTTTTTAATGCGGGAACTGTTTGTTTTTCCCAGGATATAATCAGCTCCAAGTCAAGTAGACGTGTCAGTCTAGTAGTGGAGGGCACATCTCAGTGGCCCATGTGGGGATCGAACTGGCAACATTGGTGTTATGAGCACTGTGCTCTAACCAACTGAGCTAACCGTCTGCCCCAATACCATACTTTTAAAAAGTATTTAATACCTGGAAGTGCAGGACCACCTGTCCTGTTCCATTATTCTCTATATCTAACCCAAAAACCTTTTTTGAAACATTTTTTTCAGAATTGTTGGGGTATTTTTATTTGGTTAGTCTTCTAGATAAGTTTTTAGACTAAAACTCATTTCCTGACATTTTTATTGGAATTACTAAAGTGTTAGTGTTTAATTTGGAAAAAGTTGACATAATTACAATAAGTCATCTCATTCACCTGGAACATAGATTATCTTTCCATTCATATTTCTTTCTTTAAAAAAAAGAACTGTCTTTACTCTCCTGTTCACGTATGAAAGTTTAAAGTGTTTTGATGTATTTTCATGGACCTTCTTTTTGCCTTTTTTTTAAGGTTCTCTTTGGAAAAGTGAAGAAAATTCAGCCTTCGGTGGATAAAAACAAAGTTTCTTTGGATCCTTCTCCTAACTTTGATTGCCATATGTCAAGAAGTAGACCTTCTCTGAAAGATACCATTGAGCTACAAGCCTACACATCAGCAGTATGTTAACTTTTTAGTTCATTTAACTACTTGAAAGTCATGTGCTTTACATTGTATGATACAAGACTTAAGACTTCCCAAAATATTAAAGGAAAATCTCTTTTAAGTCACTCAATATAAGATGACCATAAATAAATAAATAATGAAAGATGTTTTAATACTTACGATCTGAGAATGTTGGTAAAGACGTTTTCAAGTTGATATTCTGTTCAAAGTACTGTGGCTGCATTTATATAGATGTTCCATAGATTAATTCCTGTCTTTCAAAACACACCAGCTCTTTTTAAATAAGGCTATTTTGAATAATGTTAATTGGTCCTTTTTACTTTGCAAAATGAGAAAAGGCTTTTGTATCAGTCATTACATGTGACATAGTAATTTTCTATCGTGCGTTGCTGACTCAGACCTTTTAATTTTGTATAGAAGATTAAATTATATATAATATAATCATATACATGGTTAAATGAAGATAAATTTCTAGAGGTATATATATGCTCCCACATGTAAAATGTATTAAGCTATGGTTATTTTCCTAATTAACTTTTCCAACCAAATAAAATATAATATAGCGGTTCATGGCACATGCAATACATTGAATTTTTCATAGAAAAATACTTTTAAATTTAAAAACAGATTGTGTCTGTTTCTGCCAACATTGACAGCCAACTAAGAAAAAAATATGTGATAGGGAAAAAAATTATGCATCCAAGAAAACTAGGGTTGAAGAAGGTAGAGAGAGGAAGTGATAGTATATGGAAGCAGATGAGTAAATAACATCATGCAGGTGTATTAGTTTTTAAAAATACGAGCTTATTCAAGTCCGCTAAAATTAATCACCATAGAAATGTTCTTTTTCTTCTTTGTCTTTCAGGTATACGTCTATGAATACAATAATTTTTTAAAGCCAGTCGATAAACCTAGGCAGTGTCTTCCATATGCAATAGTAACAGTAAAATTTATTGGTCAAAAAGTAGATAATGGACACCATATGACATCTTTGAAAGTCCCCTCAACAGGATTGCCTAAGAGGGCTGGTAAGATACATACAGTAATCTACTTCAGTAGCATTTGAGCTAGTCTTACAACTTCTGGATATTATTTTGTAATACACTATGAATCTAAAATAGCTGTGCTTTACCCATTTTCAATTTTTTATATCTAGAATTATATTGCAGATATTTTTGTGACTTCTTTTGTTCAGTATATTTGTGTGATTCTTTCATACTGATGTATAACTGTGTTTCTTCATTTTCATTCATTATGTGTACACACACAGTATTCCATTTTGTGATGATACACTATTCCTCTGGGACTATTGGACACTTTCCAGTTTTATTCATATTCCAGACATTGCTATTTTAAACATTGATGGAAATGTTGTAGTGCATATGTGCAACAGTTTTTCTGTAGAGTATATATATACACATCAGGAATGTGTAACACGATTCAAATATAATGGTAGTTTTCAAAAGTGGTTGAATCAGGTTACATAATTATTCTACATCCTTGCGACACATACACTTTTAAAAAAATGTTTGTTTCTGCCTGCCTAATGAGCATGATACGTTATCATTATCATCCGTAAAAGAAAATCTGTACCCTTTAAAAGCTACCATATCCATTTCCCCGCATTCCCCTCACTCCTGAGCAGTCACTAATCTGCCTTCTGTTTATTATATATATTTTCCTATTCTGGACATTTCATATAAGTGAAGTCAAATATGTGGCCTTTCATGACTGATGACTTTCACTTAACAGTGTTTTCAAGGTTTTGAATGTTGTATCATGTATCAGTACTTTATTCTTTTTAACGGAATAGCATTCCATTGTATAGATATGAGTACACTACGTTTGTCCATCAGTTGATGGACATTTGGGTTGTTTCTACTTTTTGACAATTATGATTTACTTTTATTTGCCAGGTTTTATTTACATATATTATTTGCAGGAATACTTATTTCATTATGCAGCAGGGATAGTGGTTTGCTTTAGCTCCTGGGAAGGATTTTGTGGAAACTTTTTTTTCTTTTCTCCCCTCTACTTCTCTACCTCATTCCCGTTTTCTTTCTATTTTTTGTTCTCCCACCATAGAGGGAAAGAAAGCAAGATAACAGTAGATAGAGGGGAACAGTTTTGCCTATTAATATATAGATTCTATTTTTAAATATCTGAATATAGGAAATTAATATGAGAAATACCTAGTCTATGAGCAACATTTTTTATTCCTATTTAATTTGTCTATTTCTTAGTATTTGACAGAATCCAAATTGTTTTATGGTAAATATTTTCTTCAGTAAGGTCTCTAGGACAGCGTTTCATGCTTTGTGATTTATACTTTATTGGTTTGTTACTCATCCTCTCCTTGCTTTTTCTGCTGAGAATATACTTGAATCATCATTAGTTAATTTGGTGAAATTTCAGTTAAAATCACTCATGACATAGTTTACTTGTATTAATCGAGTTGTCTGTAGAAATACTTTTTCTTTCTGTTTTTCTTATTATTTCCACAGAAAGAACATGTTCTCTGAATAACTGTACAGTGGCCAAAAGACTTGGAAAAGGAAAAGATGCTACTGTCATCTTTGAGCATTTCAGGAAACCTGTAGATCCATTTGTTCAGGAAAATTGTTTGTGCAATTTGGAGATAAATCCTTCCAACTCAACTATTTCTCATTTCTGTGGAAATGTGAAAAATGGAAACAGTTCTATACTTAAAACATACAATGGACAGACAGAGAACAATTTACCAGAATGTAGAGACACTTCTCAAGTACATGCATATGAATCAGGTCTTTCATTTATTCGCAGTGATACCAGAGAAAGTGTTAATGGTGACCTCTTGTTAAATTTGACATATCTTAAAGATGTTTTAAGTGGTTGTCATGCTGCTTTTCCCTTTCATAGCAATATTGGCTCAAGCACAGTTACTACTTCAAAACTCATCAAAGACCCAAGACTGATGAGAAGAGAAGAAAGCATGAAAAAACATAATAATATTACAGGTTTAAATGAGATTTTGCCATCTGAGAAGAGTTTAGATTTTGTTAATTCAGAAATAAACCTTTCTATGCCAACTAATTCTGCCTCCTCATCTGAAGTCATGCCTGGTGATCTTACTAATTGTTTGGATACCTCTTGCTCCAAAATTTCTTTTGATAATTCACAATCTCAAGCTCACAACATGGGCTCTAAGAACTATGATTATACAACTCCCAATAAAATTACTATAAAAGGACAATGTCAGGACCAAGACAATTTTGCCTTTTCAATGTGTTTGTCAAATGTAGCTTCAGAAGATGAGAACCAAAAACACAGTGAGGAAAAAGTGCAGAGATCCCAAGAGAGAAGCAGCATCCCACTTTTAATTGAACAAAATAGCGAGCCACATAACTCTTATGAATCAGTGAATACTTGTACAAAAGGGCATAATAGTCACATTTCTCAGGAATCACAGTCTTCTAATTTAAAAACTGTATGTCAGACTGATTACCAAACGTCTACAGTTTTTCCATTCCAAAGGAAAGAAGACATACATGAATACATTCAAAATATTGGGAAGAAGAGAAATTTCACTGGCCCAGAAGACAATTTCAAACATGGAAAAAAGCGAAATTTGTGGAAAGAAATGGATAATTATCATACTGATGAAACAAAAATCAGTCTAGTAGATAGTTACATTTCTTTGCACCAAGAATGCAAACAGGATGAGAGTCTAGATTCTTTGGGGAAAAAATGTGATCAAATATTAATCATTCAAGAGTTAGACATACCAAAATCTCCCGTGTCTAGCTCAAAGGATAAGTACAAGCCAGAGTATCTAGCATTGGAATTACAAAGTGATCTTACTCCAAGAGTGGAGATCCTTTCACAAAAGCATTCTCAACACTCTTTGGAGTATGAAGATAACATTCATACAAGTTGTGCCATTTCTCAAAACCTAATGGAACTGAAATTGGAAAAAACAAATCAAAATTGTGTTAGCATTTTAACTGATGCTTTCCAGGGTGCAGAAGACATTCCCCAGACCAAAGAACTGCCAATTGATACAGTTTTTTCATTTCATGACATTAAAACAGCTCATGACAATTCCAATTGCAACATAGCTAGAGAACATATATATATCCATAGGAAAAATGAAAATGACCCAGTGTCATTAGAGAACATTCAAAGAGACTGCAAAGAAATGCTTCAAATTGATGATAAAGGTCAAGATCATACTCTGTTTTGTAATGTACTGTTGAATAATGATGCACACCTGAATGTTGATTTCAAAGAACAAAGATATAATGATAAAGAAAACCAAAATGAGGCTAATGATAAAGATATTGCTTCATCTACAGAAAACAGCATAGAGAAAATATGTGGAGATGAGAAGCAGGGTTTTTATACAAACAAAAATTTCATCAATATAGATGAAAGGAGGGAGAATAAAAATTACAATAGTGTAGAAATTTGGAGTTCTGATGAATTTGCTACTACATTTAATTTGATTTTGGGGAAAAAATATATATCAACAGAAACTATATTATTAGAAACTAAAGATACTATCACTGCCATAAAACAAAAAGAAACTCAAAATACTGGAAGGAGTGTGAAGCAATTGGCTTCCAGCTTTCCCGAAATTGCAGGTTCTTCAGTGCATGTATTCTCCAATGCTGCAGCACAGATAGCTGGTACCATGGTACCCACATTAGGCACAAATCTTGAAGATCACCAAAGATACCAGCTGCAAGAAACTTATCCTTCTGAGAGTTCAGATTTTGGTATGTTAGTAAAACGTACGGTTTCTGATTGTGAAATGGATATGGATAAAAATAAATTACATGACTCATTTCATCAGTCAAAAAGTGACAACTCAGATCTTCAAAGTTTCAAATTAGAAAATGAGATTGAAGAAGGGTCAGAACAGTGGGATGCTCTTCCACTTCAACAAGATACGCATAGCCCTGGAAATACACTTGATGAAGAATTTGGGGCCTTATATGAGGCTCTGAAGTCTCGTATTGAATGGGAAGGTCTATTAGGAAGCAATAATGGGGAGAAGGAAGTTTTGAAAAGCACCACGAAAAGGGAGAAGAGTGATCAGCATGACTCTGAGGAAAGTAATTGTTTTTTTCTTTCTATACAAAAAAACCCAGCAGAGTTCCCCAACCCAATTTTACTTCCAGATCTACAAATTACAATTACTAATAATACATGTATGCCAAGATTCAGTTCCACTGTTGAATCCCTTACATTGAAAGATAATTTTTGCAAATCTATAACTGAAGCCACAAAATCAGAAATAAGTGAGAAGGGAAAAGTTTCGGGATTTGACATTTATTCCCAGTGCTCTGGTGAAAATTCAAATTATCCAGGTGAAGATGAATTGTGTAATGTAAGGCAAGAATCAGGACTAGTGAGTAAATCTGAAATCTCACTTTCTTCTGAACAACAAAACAGTGGACCTTTGCTTACTAAGCCTTCTAATGTCACAACGATAAGTAATGGAAGAAGCTGTTCCCTTACAAAGTCAAAAACTGATTGTAGTGATACTAAAAGTAAAAAGGACACAGAAGCAAGAAATAGCAAAAGGAAGCTACATACACCTTTTAGGGACCAGGACATATCAAATAATGATTCAGAACATCATGAAATTTGTGAGACGAGGAGGAGGCTAACCAATCAAGATTCATTGGAATGTTTTTCTTTATTATCCGAAGGACGAATTAAAACATTTTCACAGTCAGAAAAACACATTAGGAATGTCCTGGGTATTCTAAATAGCGAAGCATCTTTATTCAGAAGCAAACGTCTTTTTAGAAAACTTGACAGAGCTGTTCTTTACTTTAAAAAAGCTCATGGAAGAGTTCACACGTCCTTGCAGCTTATAGCTAAAGTGGTAGAAAAAATTAAGGGCCCATTACCAAAATCATTTGCAATAATATGTGATAATTTCTGGGAAATTTGTGACCTTCAAGGTTATAGTTCTGTTTCTGAGAGAAGATATTCCACTAAGCATTTTTTATCAAAACGAAAATATGAACCAGGAGAGAAAAGAGCTTTGGCATTTGAAGTTGATAAATCATTAACTCATGTATCACAGTACAAGTCTTATAAAACAAGTGGAGAGAGAGTCACAAAGTGCTTTTCTACAAAAAATGTGTCCAGCAGTGTTTCTAGAAATCACACCACTATTCATGTGAGAGAATTTTGTGATCCAGATTATCTTGAATCACAGTTAACCCTGTGCTCCACATCCCAAAGTACAACTCAGTCAACTTATAACGATAGCAGTATGAGGAATCCAAGATCATCAGAACTTCAGCCCTTTTCTGGAAAAACTGGGTGTCTGTTTTCCCCACACCACTCAGATGAGAAACTAAGTAAAAAAGAAAATCAAATCGACATAAAGTCTTTATTTAACATTAGTAAATATGAAAAGCTTGAGAACCATTCAGTACCTAATAAAGATGCAACAGAAGAATGTGCTGAAGCCAATGAAATAATAAATAAAAGTAATTCAGTATCTTTAAGTTGCATAAATGAAAACAATTTAAGTTTTAGCACAGACAAAAATTATGATGCAACTTGTATAACTCACACAGAGGTGAAAATGGACCAAGTTATTTCAGTTGTAGAATCAAATGTGAAGCACTTTTTAGATGTTGATATCTACAAACCAGATAACCTTTTATCTGATTATAAAAACAACCTGGAAGTAAATTTTCCTCTAGAAAAATGGATAGCTCCTAATGAGAGTTCCAAACCAAGCACTGTTACAGGAAATGTTCTTATGGACCCATTAACTCTAACTCTGATAACAAACAACAAGTGTAACAGTATCCCTCAATTGGTAACTGTTCCAGTGACAGATAGTGAGGGAGAATCTTCAAAATCTTATTTGGATAAACAGAGTTTAGCTATAGATGCTTCTGCAACAGCCACCAATGTACCACACTGTCAGCAAGGATGCGTTGGAAAGGAGCTTCTAAAGACAGAATTGTGCTCTACAAGTCATTGCTTTCATATAGACAGGAATGAAATAAATGTTATTGAGAATTCTGAGTTGGATCTCATGTCAGTAACTGAAGAAAGTAAAAGTTATGGGGCAAATATAACAAAGAGACTATCCTCCAGTGATAGTTCTCTGCTTTGTAAAGATATTATAAAGAGCTCTTCAAAAAAATGTATTGCAAAGAAAGACAGAAAAATGTGGAAAGTTAACCAAGAAGAAAAAGTAAAAGGTTCAATTCACAAAAAGAGCATGAATGGAGGATCAGCTGTTAAGACTGAGTACAGAAATCAAAAGAATAAGATTTTAGGAAAATCCTCCTTAAGTAAGAAAACAATTAAAAATAACTTGATTGATTCTCATCTAAGCATTAAAAACACTGAGGCAATCTCTTTGAGTAACCCAGTTTCTAATCAGCTTAACAAAAGAGAGAAAGAGCAGGAAATTAAAGTTAGTAATGACTCTCAATCTGACTCTACCTTGCGTTCAGAAATAGCCTATAATTCCAAACTAGACATTGTAGGAATGAATCATATGCCTGTTTTACATGCTCACCCTGAAACCTCCAAAGTCACTACTCTGAAGAAGAATCCTACATCATACATGAATCAATTAAAAGAAAAACATTGCTCAGCTAATCATTTGGCTCTTATAGCTAGGCTAGCTCAAATTTTGAAGAGGGCAGATGAAGCATCATCTTTGCAGAGTCTACAGGAAGAAACTATGGAATGTCAAAATATTCTCCCTTTGTTTGTTGAAGCTTTTGAAAGAGAACAAGAATGTTCACTTAAACAAATCTTGATTTCAAGAGAACTGTTGGTAGAACAAAACCTATGGAATAATTGCAAACAGAAATTAAAACCATGTGCTGTTGACTCCTTGGTAGAACTCCAAATGATGATGGAAACTATTCAATTCATTGAAAACAAAAAAAGGCTCTTAGAAGGTGAACCAACTTTCCGAAGCTTGCTTTGGTATGATGAGACGTTATACAGTGAGCTGCTTGGAAGGCCACGTGGATTTCAACAACAATCCAATTTCTATCCTGCTTTTCAAGGAAGGCTAAAATATAATGCATTCTGTGAGTTGCAGAACTATCATGATCAACTTATTGAGTTGTTTGAAGAAACCAAAAGGGAAAAAAATTCATACTATGCATTCTTAAAATACAAACGACAGATTAATGAGTGTGAGGCAATACTGAAGCAATGTTTTGATTGCTTTGACTTTTCTCTTTCTGTTCCATTTACCTGTGGAGTTAACTTTGGAGATAGTTTAGAAGACCTAGAAACCTTAAGAAAAAGTACTTTAAAGCTGCTCAGTATGTATGGGAACTCTCCTAAAGTTTATTGCAATCCAGGAAAACAAGACCATTTGTGGATCATCATTGAAATTATTGCCTCAAAAGTGAATTTTATCAAAAGCAATGAGGCAGTAGGTATTAACATATCTCTTTATGGTCTGGAACATATCTTTTTTGATGCTGCGAAAAGTCTTGTTTGGAAAGAGAAGAGGCAATCTTTCAGCAAAAAATACTCAGGACAGAAGAACAAAAAAACACTACTGAAAATGAACCAATATTCTTTTTCTAAGTTGCAGGAGATATATGATACATTGTCTAAAGATTTAAGCAATGAACAGATTTCCAACATTGGACTTGAGGACAATGCTATGATTGTTACCAGAAAGTCAGATAATCTAATAAACAAAGCAGCAATTAGCATAGAAAATTGTAGTTTTAACACTACTTTGCTTTCACACCCAGATTTCTGTTGTATTAGTGAGATATTGGATCAAGCTAAATTTGCAGACTTTAAAAAATTACAGGAACTCACTTTGAGATGTACTGATCACTTAGAAATTTTAAAAAAATACTTTCACATGCTGCAAGAAGATAACAGAGATAATATTTTCATCACCGAAGAAAACATTTTGGACATGGTGAAAAACCACAGCCATGAGGCTATAATTTTAAAACCTGCAGCCATTGAAACCTATATTGAAATCACTATGCTCTCAGAAACAGTTCACTTTCTTAAAAACTCAATGGCAAAAAAACTAGACAAACAGAGGTTTCGAGGTATGCTTTGGTTTGATTTGTCACTTCTTCCTGAGGTAGTTCAATGCCAAGAAAAACTGGCTTCTTTTTCATTTCTTAAAGATAACCCAACAGATTGCCTTTGGAAAGTGATAGAGACTGCTATATCTGAAGTTAAGAAAGATCTGGATAATATTTACAAATATAATGAAGCTGTTAATTGCTCATATGCTCTTCATTTGTTCTCAAGAGAACTTGAGGAACTTTCAGAAATAAAAAAACTTCTAAAGAAGTCTGAGTATTCTGCATCCACATATATTGGCTTTGTGCCATGTATAACATCCATAAATTATGGAAACACTATGATGGAGTTAGAATGCAACTACAATCAGTTTTCTACACTGCTCAAAAATATAAAGACTGCCCCTCGGAGAGATGTAGGGAAAATAGCCCATATTATGAAAGTCATGAAAACCATTGAACATATGAAGATAATATGTGCTAAAAATGCTGAATTAACCGTTTCCTTTATTTTATGCCAAATGCTGCATAATGAAAAGAAGACTTTCCAACTGAAGAGACAAGAAAAAGTGAATGTGAATGTAAAACCTAGGAAGAGTATCAATAAATATAGTACTTATATGAAGGTAGCCTCAATTTCAGAGAGCGTAATGAAAACTGTTTCAGATTCTTCTAAAAAACGACCTATCGCTGTAGACAACTGTGAAGACTCTCAGGAACAAGAGAAAAACACTACTATTTCCAGTTGTAAAAAACAAAAGGTAACAAATGCTTTAAAATAAAACCTATATAGTAGTCTTTTTGAGAACAAGTCTAGTCTTTAAGCAAATCAGTTTGCATAGTTTTAAAAATTGAGAATGCTTTAAATAATGCCTTACAAAATGAATTTACTAACTAAAGTATTAGATTTAGTAATTTATCTGTAAAATATAAATGATTCTATATATGAGGAATACCTTGGAAATGTCTTTTAAAGTTGCAAATTAAATAAATTAACTTAGAGAACATTTCTTGGGAAAATGTGAATTTTAATGAGTTCTTAAGGGAAAGTCCAAATTATGAATATGAATTGAGTGACCAAGTATTTGAGTAGTATAACAAGGCTATATTTAATGTAGTGAATATTAAAAACTGGCTAATGGAGCCTGTGTTCTTGACCATTATTACCCACATGAAGAAATAGGACAGATTTTTTTATTATTAGTTTTAGTTGTACAAAACAACATAATGATTAGACATTTACACACCTCACAAAGTGATAACCCCAACAAGTCTACTACAAGTCTAATACCATACATAGCTATCCAAAACTCTAATTCGAAAAAATATATGCACCCCTATGTTTACTACAGTGCTATTCAAAATAGCCAAGACATGGAAGCAATAGGACAGATAACATTAATAGACGATTATGAAGGCAATACAAGAAATCCTACATAAGCACATTTTATTTAACAAATTTTATACACCATTTGTTGTGTATTTGGCGCTGTTCTAATGATTATACAAATATTAACTCTTATTATTCTCAAAAGCCTTATGACGTAGGCACTATTCTTATCTTATTCTTAAATGTCTGGAAAATGAGACATAGAAAGGTTAAATAACTTTCCCAAGGTCACAGAGTTAGTAAAAGGAAGAGGCCCAGGTGTAAAACGAGGCAATCTAGCTCCAGAGCCCATACCTACAATTGCCCAAATTGCCCAATTTGCTCTCAGAGGCTTCTCTTCGAATTTTTTGAGAGTTTCTCAGTTTAGAAGTAAAGAAAGAAAAAAACTATAGGATTCTTTCTCAGCTTACACTAATTGCATTCATTAAACTAGTTCTAGGGACTAGGAAGCTAATCATCATTTATTACACTATGTTTATAGGAAAATGCTTAATAAACAAGTTTATAAACATACTTCCAAAATACAACAAGAATACAAGTTGTGTACTTCACATCAATTAAAATGAGGGTAATACTTTAAAGGTATTGTAAGTATTGAGAAAAAAAGCAAAAAATAAAAAATTAGAGAAGGTTTATTTGTTGATTTTATGGAAGAACATAAACCAAAGCTTTGCCATAAAGGAAAAAACATGAGATGAATGTAAAAATGAAGAGGGTATCTAAGTTATCAAAAATAATATGCACAAAGACACAATGCTTACTGACCTTTTTTAAGAAAGGAGTTTAAAATTAAGTCTGGAACAAAAATTTAACTTAGTGTACAAGAGTAAGCTATGGCTGGAGAAAATATTATTTCAGATTATAAAATATCTTAAATATAGGCCTAAGGAGTTTGAACTTTGTTCTGTACATGTTGAAGGATAGTGTCCTGTGAATTGTGTTTTTTTCAGTGATTTAAAAGTAGAAATTCTGAGTACAGTTAGAATGAGTAAGTCATCCAGGGCTTAGAAAAGGGTGCTATTTTACAGAATAAAAAAGAAAAATCTATATTTGACAGACATTACTTACAATAGGGCTTAGTGACTGGTTTACAAAAAAAGTATAAAAGAGGGAGCAGTGTTATAAAATGTGGGGATAAAGAGAATTTTGCAAATTTCTTTTTAAAAATGTGTTTTCAAACATTTATATAATACAGGAAGTCTAGCAGAGTCACCATTTCCAGAAGGGGAGGATCATTAATGAATGTAGTTTTAGTGCATTTTAGATGATATCAGAACAAGCAATTGGAAATGTCTGATATTAAAATAATAAGTATTCATATTGTATTTTGAACCATCACCAATGTAGGTTTGCTTTATATCTTTTAAACATAGGTTAACATGAAAGATGTCACAAAAATCAGCAGAGAAAAAGCAACGCTCAAGAATCCAAGGTAGGAGTTGCCATCAGCACTATCTGAAGAAAAACTAAACAAAAATGAGTGTATATTAAGGAATAAGACTAAAACATTTATTTATATGCCCCTATTGAATCATACATGTAACTTAGCAGACAAGAGAAAGCTAAGGAAGGAGAAGAACATTGTCTCAGATTATGCAGTGTCTTCAGTAAGGCTAAAGAGTTTGAACCTCATTGTATAAGTATTGAAGGGTAGTGTCCTTGAAATGTGTTTTTCAATAATGTAAAGGATAAGGACATTCTAAATATAGTTAGAAGTGGTAAGTCAGCCAGGGATTAGAAAAGGGCAATGTTTTACATAATAAAAAAGTAAAATTCGTATTTAACAGACATTACTTAAAGAATTGATGGGCTTGGTGACTGGTTTACTAAAAAGGACAGGAAAGAATAGGGCAAGTGATTAGATTGAGCCCTTTAAACTTATGGACTTTATAGACCAATCATTTCAAAATTGGTTAAAAAGATATAAATTGCCAACTTACATTACTAAGTGGAAAGTTAGTCATAGACAAACACACATATTATAAATATACCAGTGTTTCATAAAAGAATGTTTTAACAACATACTATAGAAAAAATATGATTTCAAAACAAAGGCTAGCTCTTTTAACTGAATTTACTTTTGTTAAAAACACACTACATTATATTTTTCTCATTTTGACACGAAGTGGCACCACTGCACTTGCTGACCATCTCTTGTTTCATTCAGCCCTGTAACGTTTTCAATTATGATAAGCTTTCTTTTCTTCCATTTTATGAAGGAGAATGAGTAACATAGAATAAAAAGCATAAGCATGCTCATTTCTGTCTGACTTGGTTTTGCTTCTTCAAATACAGCATTTTATTTACTACATTTCTAAAATCCTTTTCCTGGTACATATGACTCTTTGAGTAGTTGTGTGGTGGCATAAAGATGAATAGGCTGTTAGAAGGATAACATAAACCAGTTCTATAATCATCTTAGTTTTGGTAACTAAGTATAGGTGGTATTTGCTACTCATAGAGTCAAACTTTGTCTCACTTAGCAGGAAAATGAATTATAATATAAGGTTAATATAAGGTGCTATCTTCATGGAAAAATATCCTCTTAAGAGAATACATAAAAGGATAGACCATACAAGCAACATCCATCTATAAGGTTGAGACATCACTGAAACAACATTGAAAATGTACTAAAGTCAAAATTGTATTTTCTGTAAACTCTGTCAGAATATTACATGGGGTTGGATGACAATGTAGGATGTCATTAAACTGCCTTTTTTTTTTTTTAAGATTTTTACTGGGGAATTGGGGGATGGGAACAGCACTAGGGAATTGGGGGAAGGGGAACAGACAAGTTGCTGTCCTTTTGTTCTTCAGTCTAGTTGTGGAGGACGTTGCTTCACTGGCCCAAATTGGCACCATCATTGCGCTCTTCCTGGGCGAGGCAGATCAGTCGCTGGCTTCTGGACGGCTGCTCACAGAGGCTGCTGGCCACTCACGCTGGTTGCTGGCCACTCATGGTAGCCCATGGCAAACCACTGCAGCAGGGGCTGCAGCCTACACCGTCGCCGGTGACTCATGGCAGCCCAGCTCCAGGTTGAGTTGTTGTTCAGCATCTTAGCTGTAGAGGGCAGTGTCACCGGCCCTCATATGTGGGATCTGAACCGGGGCCCTCTGGCGTCCCAAGCCAGCTCTTAACCAATGCGCCACTTGGCCAGCCCTAAACTGCCTTTTAAGGAAGCTGGATTAAGTAAAATACGGGGCTTTTAGTTTCATAAGTGGAGTATACAAATTTGAGGCCAAAGATTAATTTCTCTTAACCGGAGGAGCGGTTCCTTTTTTCTTTTTAACATATTCTTTTCCACACATAATTAAAAGAATTTGAGGGGCCGACCGAGTGGCTCAGTTGGTAAAGAGCACAAGCTCTGAGCAACAGGGTCACTGGTTCGATTTCCACATGGGCCAGTGAGCTGCGCCCAAGCTGAGCTGCTGCTGAGCTGCCAACACGTGGCAGGATGGCTCAGCTGGTGAGAGCACATGCTCCTAACAACAAGGTTGCCAGTTCCACTCCCACATGGGATGGTGGCTACACCCACCCACAACTAAGATTGAACATGGCACCTTGAGCTGAGCTGCTCTGAGCTGCTAATGGGTGGCCGGATGGCTCAGTTGTTAGAGTGTGTGCTTTTAGCAACAAGGTTTCCGGTTCCACTCCCTCATAGGACGGTGGGCTATGCCCACCCACAACTAAGATTGAACATGGCACCTTGAGCTGAGCAGCAGCCAACAGGCAGCTAGATGGTGACTGGACTTGGAGCTGAGCTAGCTGCGCCCTCCACAACTAAGATTGAAGGACAACAACTTGGCTGTTCCCCTTCCCCAATTCCCCAATTAAAAAAAAAAAAAAGAATTTGATGAGACACCGAAAGATATCATTACCCTAGGGACCTGTATTAACTGTTTGATCTATACATTCCCATAGTGGATGCTTCCTTCAGCTTGTTTGAGATTGTCTAAATTTAGGTAGGACTGCAAGGGTATTAAAATGGCAAGAAATTTTGGAGGTCTGCCTTTCCCATCTGTGACCTTGAACAGAAAAAATAACTTAGTAGTTTGTGATAACAGAAAACGATCTTTTTGATGGGGAAAGAGGTATATCTTGTAGTTTCACCAGTTACAGATAGCCATTTACAAGTAAAGAAGATTGTCTGTAGGTTGGAGGTATATGAATTAGAAACTATACTAAAAACAAAAATTGAATAATGATCCTTTCCTATTTCTAAAAGCCTCTATCAGGAAATGTCCAAAACATAAAATAGTTTTTTACAATATTGGCAGTACTGTATGATTCCAAAATACATAATTGAAATGTGGAGTATATATCACTTTTAGGAGGGAAACTACCTAGATTCAAACCAAGGTAGTAAAGCTAGGGAGATATGTTACTTGTATACTCCCAATAGAAAGAGGAAATGTAAATCCTTAAGATCTTTTCTCCTGAATAAAAATTTCAAATAATGTATTTATATTAAAATTTTGCAACTGTATATTTAAAATTGTTTGTATGTATGTGTTACACTTAATAGGACCACAAGATCTCATCTCCAAAGTGAAAATGAAATAGAACCAAGTTCATCTGACAATCTGAAAAGAAACCATGTACCTCCAAAAGCTGAAATGCAAAGACCACTACCTGGCTCATCATTACCTTTAAAGAACCTAAAAGACACCTGCATGTTGAAGTCGAAGGGTAAAATAGATTTACCTAACATTTCATCTGACACTTCAGAAGATCTCACTGGACAACAAGAAAACTTAAATAGCATGAAGAAAAGAGATGTGAATTTTAGTGCTGCTGAAACCAAAAGTGATAAGAAAGATTGTTCTTCTTTTGCATTTTGTGACCAAAAAAGTGTAGATGACACATTTTCAAAAGACCTTGAAACACCTTCACAGAAATTTCTTAAGAGTTCCCCAGATCCTGCAGAGAAATCTTGTCCCTCAGACATAGAACCAAGAACTGATGCTTCTCTTCTGCCTCATGCATCAGTGTCCTCAAAGCCTACTTTCCATTTTGTGAGGGATAGCCATGCCAATTTAGAAATGAATGATACTGTCCTTGACCGTCAAGATAATGAAATATTAAATTCATCTATTAAAAATTCTACATGCACCAATTCTCCAGAACCCATATTTATCCAGAACGAAATTCCAGTTCTGCAAATAAGTGAAACACAGCCTGCAAAAACTGAGTCAAAAGAAAAATGTATGAAAGATACATTGAATCTCGGCACTGTACCTCTTGAAGGTTCTGAAAACATAACCCTGAATGTTGATAAAACAGGAGAATACTCTTCTTATGAACAAAAAAATGAAAACGCAAAAGTCCTAACTCAGAATGTTACGACACACTGGAATGAACTTCCACAGCCTTCATGTGCCCCAATATATAATTCTTCTGAGCACTCATTCGGAACTTCATACCCTTACTATGCATGGTGTGTTTATCATTACAACAACAGCGATGGCTGTTCCATTACCCACACATACCAGGGAATAACATCGTGTGAAGTACAACCACCTCCTCCTCAGATGTCAATTGCAGCTTCAACCACTGCCCAAAATACATATTCTAATGGTTCTTACCCTCAATATTTTGGTTACTTTGCTGGGGAGCCACAAGCATATAGCTTCATGCCACAGAATGGGCATTTTCAATCTCAAATGCCTGTTTCTTACAACTTTCAGCAGCCAACTTTTTCACAGTTTGCTTCCTATCAACCGTTACCACAAGCTACATACCCTTACCCTCCTGATTCAGGTGTGCTTCCACAAGTTCCTTGGACTTACGGTGAGTTTCACAAGTTTTAACGCTTGTTTCATTGAATTTTTGCTTTTATCTTTGTATGTTTATGTAAGTAGAATTTACAAGTGATGATACATAGCAGTCACTTTTCTGTGCAAATTTGTAGAATAGTTAAATATTAGGCAGAGTTGAATTATGTTGTCAGGTGAAAATCGAGCTGTCAAAGGTGAAAGAAAAGAATTGTTAATATCACTAATACATCCTTCAACAAAACCCAACTTTAGGGAGTAATTGAGAAAATTCTAGTTAATTCATACCATGAAATATGATGCAACCGTTAAAGGGCTTTTAAAAGTTTTTGATGACAGTTTTTAAAGCTATATCCTATAAATTTACCCATGTAAGCAAAGAATTGCATTGAAATGCTGAAATGAAGTACACCAACATTTTAATTTGTCTGCTTCTAGGTGATAAAATTTGGGGTGTGTGGAATGTGTTTTTCTGTATTTTCTAAGATTTCCTATTGGGAATATACATTATTTTGATAAATAGAGCCAAAAACCAGGGTAGAAAAAGAAACTTCAATCAGACAAAACAACCTTTTTCTTTCTGTATTTTAATATATCACCTTGTCAGAAGTGAAAATGGAGTTGAGATATGTTGATAGAACAACTTGGTAGTTTGCCACTGGAACTTGACAATTTTTACCTTAAGCAAAATTCTATTTGTAAAAATCACAATTAGAATATAGATTTTAAAACTAAATTGAAATACATATGTTTACCAGAGTTAAAGCAAAATTTTTAAACAATAATTATGCAAAATCTACAGTTAACCACTAACACCCAAATATTCTATCAGAGGTAAAATATACTGTAAAGAAAGTTAATCTCTTAGTTTTAAACAGAGAAATGTAAGAAAATTTATTTTAAATTCAAAAGTTGTTTCTCAATCCTCCGTTCTTTTACTAATTAATAAGTAGAAAAAATTTATTGAATTAATTAATTCATTTGTCTGAATTGTTAACATAGTTCTATTTCTAATTAAGAAATCTGATCAAGGCAGCATAGTCAATAATATTGTAATAACTGTAGTAAAAGATGGTTACTAGAATTATGATGATCACTTTGTAAGGTTGATAAATGTCTAATCACTATATTGTATACCTGAAACTAACATAATATTCTATGTCAACTGTAATTTTAAAAAGTATTAAAGAAAAAGAAACAACCCCTGACCTAAGGGAGTTTCACAAACAAGAAAAAAAATCTGATCACAGGAGCCCCTCTGCATTGCACTTGCCACTGGCACCCTATTACCTACAGGACAAAACTCAAATTAGCCTGGAATGCAGGGCCCTTCGCAGTCCTGCATATACAGCCTCATCTCCCACTACTTGCATCTCTGTATTCAAACCACATTAAACTTTTTTCTGTTCTCCCATGTGACAATTTCACTTGTATTTCCATAGTACTTTTTGTGTGCATGATAAGGCATGTGAGTATTGTGTGGTGTTTTAATTATCTGTGTATCTTTTCCTTCCCTCCCTGCCCCATCAAATGAATTTAAACAGGACTGGAAAGAGTATATGACTGCTTTTTCAACTTTTTGGCTAATTTGATATATTGCTGCTGCTGTATAGATGTGACAAACCTATGAGTTAAAGTAGACATTTTAATTTCTGGAATAGGAAATCTTGAGTGTAATTGTTTCATAAAGGTTCTCATAGTTAGAGCTTTCTTGTGGTCTTAATTAAGCTGTTTCTGATGTTAAAAAAGATATCTCTGGAATCAAATCCAGCTTTGATTCTCAGAAATTTTAATTGTTACTTCATGGTTATATTAATCAAGTGAAAATAAAAGGTAAAGAAACAATGATCTACTTATTAAAGTATCCAAAAGTAACTCTAAAATAATTAGTTAGCAATATAAGCACATCTTTTAGTTTCTGTGAATGCAAATAATCCGGGGAGATCACCTGGCATACTTACAGGAACTACATCCTTCTAAAGATGTGAAAATCTCTATGACCCACTTACTGCTGTTTTGTTCATGATGCTCACGTTCAACACCATAAATGGAACTAAAGAAAGGGGCCAAGTTAACCTTGTGTACCAGGCATGTACCATCCTTTATTCCATTTAATTCTCACAAGATACCTGAGAGAGACGTAGGTTCTATAGTTCTTTTACAGATGAGGAAACTTCTCCTTGGAGAACCTTAAATCTCTTTCTTGAGATCATGGCTAGTAAAGAGCAGATGTGCAGTTTGAACTTCGATCTCGTAGGCTCTATCTTAGGTCTTTTGACTGTACTGCTATATGCCATTGGTTTGCATCATTAACTTAATCTCAAATCTGTGTGCTTTTCTTTCTTCTAGTTCCATGGCAACATCAAGAACCCTTTCAGCCAAAACCTTGAAAATGGTCTTCTGTCTACTGAAAAATAAAGGAGATTTACAAGTGTTTCCAAGTATTTTTTACTTTTATTTTATCTTAACATTTTAAATACGTATATGTAAATGTGGTAGGAAATGTAAACCATATAGCCTTTTATAAAATTTTTAAATGCAACAGCGTTTCATGCAATGCAAGGAAATCAATTTCTAACATCTAAAATACCAAAATTATTTCCATGCAATTATTTCCATGCAGTTATTTTAGTGAACTCTTACTAGGCTATTCTCAGTATCTACTTAGCCATCAGAAACATTAACAGTATTTTTTGAAATTTATTTATTTATTTATTTTCAAGGACAAAAATAGTTTTATTTCAAGTTTATTCATTTTGAGCTTACATAAATAAGTACTTGACCCAATGGCAAAACATTTCTAATTTTAGCACACTGAATGATATGTTAAACAGTAGTTTTTTTGTTTTGTTTTGTTTTCCATTTTACCATTTCTTTTTTTTTTTTTGAAATTTATTTTTGGAAATGTTGCTATAACAGCTATTCCAGCAATATAAAGATTTTTTTGAGGTTATTCGAATATAATGAGAATAAATGTAACATTTAATATAATTAAGGTGAAGCAATAGTAGTAAAATCTTTTAAGAATTTTGTTGGTGATATTTTGGTGTAGTGTTGTGCCACTTGATTTAGATTAAAGCAGGATTTTTTTTAAACTTGGATTGGTTGAACAATAATTTTAGAATTCTTGATACTATGTAATTTATAATTTTACTGTGTCTAATGTGACAAATTCCTTTAATTTTATTATTTTGTAATTTTTACTTGTAAAATACATTGTAATAGTTTTGCATATTTTCAGTGTTTGTCCCTGAGTAGAGATTTTTACAATTTTTATGTTTGAAGCAGTTTTAGTTTATTATATTGAAATTAAAGCACATTTAGTACCTTTTTTCATAAGAGCCCTTTCCACGATATTTCTTTTGTATTTGTATTTCACAGTTTAAATGGTTTTTAATGATTTTGTAGTAAATAATAGGGAATGATGTCTTTAGCTTATGCCATTAGTTTAGTGAAATTTATGTATTTAAACAATATAGCACTTATACAGGTTTTTTAATGCTGTGGTCACAGATTTTCTTTTCCTTTTTAACATTACACAAAAGTAAAAACTGCCTTGGTGATAATCATTGTAGAATAGGGGAGCAGAGTGTAACTATGGTCTTTAGCAGTCTTTCTGCCCACCAACAACTATTCCTGTTTTCTGTAAGATCCCAGTCAAAAAGATCTCTCACAACTGGATAGACCTTTTTCAAGTGGGCCCTGAAATGTGACAAGAGCTTTGCATTGGCTAAATCTAAACAGATAGCTAACGTTCAGTATTTTCTCAAATTTTTTAAGTTAGTAAATTATGTTATCTAGCACAGGCCTCCAGTGTAATTCAGCCATATTTATTGTAGAGTAACTGATTTTTCAATTTAGAAAAACACTAAGAACACCTAGGATAAGCGTCTTTAGTCTCATTTACCAAATAGGATAGAATTCAGAATATTTAGGGTTCTTCTCTAACAAACAGATCTTTAAAGGGGGACAGTCAAGCGAAAACCTACAACTGAGAGAAATAAGGAATTTGAAAAAGAGACTATATATAATGAAAGCAATATCAAGATAGCGTATATTTTTTGTCCATATAGTTGTTTTATTTGAAAATAGTCTGTAAAAATCAGAATTCTTGAACAAGTATTAAAGCAATAATGTTAACTGTTATTTAAATAATAACTGCCTCAGCCATTTGATTTATGTTTGGCAATAGAGAGATGTTACAAATTTATTAAAACTGTTTCTTTTAGGTCAACAGTTAAATATTCTAAATTAAGGATGCTTTCTTTAAACAACTTTCAGATTTCATTGGTATTATCTTTGTGATGTTTTTATTTCATAAGTTTTAATTTCTTCAAAAAAAGAAATGAAAAAATCTGATCTAAATATTCAGTTAAATTTAGAAATCTGTACTTTGAAACAGAACATGAAAAACTGGAGTATTTTTCCCCTCAAACGTGTATTTTGGTTCTAAAAATAAAAACAGAATTAAAATTTGAGCTAACATTATAAACAAACAAACAAAAAAACCCTGCTTGTTTATAAGTATTATTGTTTTGGAACTTAAAGAAGAATTATTTGAATAAACAATTCATTCTAGTTTCAGGGTTTGTGTGTGTGTGTTTAAGTAATGAGCAGATATGTGGATGGTCCTTGGTTTATCCATACCCATTACATGAAAAACAACCCACAAAGAACTGACTTAATTAATTGACTGAATAAACTGCTGGAGAACTCCTTCCACTCCAGCTGCTTTTGCCTTCATTTTCCTTCCTTCCTCCTCACTCTTATAAACTTCATTACTGCCTGGAGTTTCATAGGACAAGCCCAAGTCCCTGCACGCATACAGTTCTCATTCCAGTCAAGAGAGACAAGTAATAAACATGTAAGTAATTTATTTCACATAATGGGAAGTGATATGTAAAAAACAAAAAGTAATGGAATAAAGAATGACGGAATGGTACACAAGCTGAGATGTTCAGGGATGGCCTCTTTGAGGAGGTAATCAACCTAACTTTTGTATTCTTATATTCTAATTATATCATTCTGCCTTACATTAATATACATAATGTAAAAGTGCCTGTAAAACTTGAATTCTGAATCTAGCCAAATATAAGGCTATGCCCCATTTTTCCAATGACAGGATTCACCAAAGAAAAGTTTTTCGATAAACTTAAATATATGCATATAAGCTTTCAGAGAAACAGATGAAATGTTTAAATGTCAATTATATATTAAAATATTTTTTAAATTTTAACTTATTTTGTAGAACAGTTTCAGTGTCCTCTCATGCATCTTTGATATCAATGCCTTTGTCATCATTAGAGCTTTTTTGAGCCCTATGACAGAGTTTTCCAAAGCGTATCATTCTCACAAGTTTTTTGAGATCTATGCTTTTTAAATCTGTGTACACATCCAAAATTACTTGACTGAGGTCATTTAAGGCTAATTTCTTCCACAAAGGCATTCTTAAAGTAACAACTTAAGTCTTCAAAATAGAGTAAGGCTCCACACTGTTTTCAATGGGGATAATTTTAAGGGAAAAGAATTAAGGCATATGTATTAAATCTATTAAATCTCTTATATGGGCATAGTTTGGTTTTAATTCATGCAATATTAATATTTCTTAAGTACAATGATAAACTCCCAATTATCCATGCAGTTTGAAAATAGGATTGTAGAGCAATAAAATTAAATTATTCTTATAAAACATTTTTTTAAATTAGTTCTAATGAATACAATTCTAAGAGCAGTGACTACAGATTTCTAGTTAGCAGTTGCTAATGAAAAGAAACAGAAGGTAAGGGATTGTTGATTAGTAGTGCAATGTGGAAATAAGATTTAAAAGAATTTGTTAGCTATTAAGACAGGAAAATTTTGTAACAATATAAATCCTTATTTCTTGGGTTGTAAGCTCTGCTGTCTGCTTTACTCACATAGTTACCATCTTATTTATGAATCTTACAACCATTGAAGAATCCCTCTGGTACTTGTAAAAAAGTTCCTTTGAAATATCTTGTGGAACCCTTGATCTCAAAATACCCTGCATTCTAATTTGTTGTCCCAGGAAACTTCTTTTATCTTAAGATTTACAACTCCTTGCATTTCAAAGTAATTTGAGATTTTTGCATGTTTGATTAAGAAACAATTGCTCTATATACAAACACATCATTGTAGTCCTTTGGCTAAGATTATTTTAGTTACATTAAGAAGTGAATGGGGTTGGCTGAGTGGCGCGTTGGTTAAGAGTTGGCTTGGGATGCCAGCTCTGAGCAGCAGGACCCCAGTTCAGATCTCACATGAGGGCCAGCGACACTGCGCCCTCTACAGCTAGGATGGTGAACAACAGCTCCACCTGGAGCTGGGCTGCTGTGAGTCACCGGCGACTGTGTAGGCTACAATGGAGCGTCAGCTTTTGTGAGCAGCCGTCCAATGGCCAGCGAGTGACTGCCTCTCCCGGGAAGAGCACAATAATAATACCAACATGGGCCAGTGAAGCAACTTCCTCCACAACTAGACTGAAAAATAAAAGGACAGCAACTTGTCTGTTTCCCTCCCCCAATTCCCCCAATAAAATCTTAAAAAAAAAAAGTGAATATATTTTGCATATTGGGAGTTATGCTAGATTAAGTAACTAATGACTCCTAATTTGTTGATTCCCAACCAAGGTTTTTTGAAACTATGTTTGAATAGTAATGAAAACATCACTTTCCTCAAAATGAACTCTGTCTTCACCTTATCTTGGTGCTATCCTGAAGGTTATTCAGCTCCATATCGCTTATGAGAGGCAGTCTAGTCTCTCTGCCTTCCTTCCGTCCCTCATTATTTTCAGAACTATCCCAAGACCATTCACTTTTGTGACAGGAGTTACACCCACCCTCTTCACCTTTCTTACAGCTGAACTATACAAAATAAAACAAAGTCATGTTTCAAATATGTCATCTATTGAAAATGCACACTTAGAATACACTGAGTCAGCTATGTTACTTTTGTGGTCTTCCACCAATTTTTCAGAAAAAAATATTAAGACAGACTAAAAACTAGTTTTCTTACCATGCTTTTTTTTCTGGGCCCTTGATCTAGGAACCAGCAATAATGAAAAAGTTTCTCCTATAGCCTTCTGCGGACCCATGAAAGGGCGAAATAAAAATATTAGTGAATGATATTTCATGAGGAGTGTTCTTTTTGATGCAAGTCAGAGTGAAAAAATTATCCAAAAATGATTTGAAGATGAGAATAATAGTTTGCTTGCTTTCATAAACACAATGAAAATCTATTCCATTCAATGTAAATATGCTATCAAGTTATGAACAATAAATGTTTACTGAGCACCTTCTATTGCCGAGCTCAGCAGTATGATAGACATTTGGGATTGAAAAATCAATGAGGCATTTCTGGCTTGAAAGGAGTTTATAGTCTGTGTAGAGTGGGAGAAGCATGCAAGAAACCAACCATTGAAACAAAGCGAGGGAAATAGTGTGATGTATGCTGTGCTTAGTCTTATAGGTCTTAAGAGGAAAACCATACAATTCATCCTACTGGATTTAGGAATACATACAAGAGTAAGACAACCCTAAACTAAGTCTTGAACAATCTGTTTGAGTTATACAAGGTCTGAAAATTAAGTTTGCGA